CCAGCATTGCGCAACGCTGCCATTGTGGTGCACACAGCAGGTGGACCCGAGGAGGTACCTCCCTCTTGAGGCGCGTTTCACGTCACCGAACCCCAGGCTTTACCCGTCTCGCTCGCTTAGCGTGCGCTCTGTTCTCGCAGGTACTACCGCATCGCTGCCTTCGGTTACTACGCCTACAAAATGTGCCCGGAGGACGTCCTCTACAACTGCCTCCCGCTCTATCATTCTGCAGGTAAGCGTCCTCCTTCTCGGAGGCGGAGGTGAGGCGGCGGCCTCCCCCCTGCCTGCTCCTTCGTGTGTCCCTTGTGAGCGAACGGACCCAGGGCGGTCGGAGCTATCCCCCTGATCCTTGTTTTCCAGGTAACATCATGGGAGTTGGCCAGTGTCTAATCCACGGCCTCACCGTGGTGATCAGGAAGAAGTTCTCGGCCAGTCGCTTCTGGGACGACTGCGCGAAATACAGATGCACGGTGAGGGCTCGGCGGTCGCCGTCTTTGGTGCTCAACTCGAGAGCGCCAGGTTCACCGCCTAATTATTGATCTCCAATAACTCCCCGTCCCTTGTCGGATATCGAGGTGCCTGCGCCATGGCGCCTTCCAATTGCCAGCGCCGCTTTAGGCGTGCAGGACTTTAGAAAAGGTCTTTCATCCGTCTTCTCCTGCTTCCTCTTTGCAAGGTTGTCGAGACCAGCTTTTAAAACACAAGTTTCTTGTTGCAGGAAAGCTCTGCCAGAATTCATCCGCGTTAGGAATCTCTGCAGAGGAATTCCCTCGGCAGTTCACAGCCAATAAACATCTTTCTGGGTTTATGTCAACGTTACCTTCTAATTTAAGCAGCCCTTTCTCCTGCCTGGTGTTTGTCTTGCCCTTCCCCCACCAGCAGTATTTATAGCTGGTAATTGGATCTCCGCTCCGGCTCCGTTAGTTCATGGCCGACCACTCATTCCCCGAACCTTTCCAGAGGTCTCTCAGTCACCTAGTAAAGCACGAGGGTTTTTCTTTATGCGAGTATCTCTAGCCACGCTGAGGGATCCCTCCTGTGCTCTTTTCTGGCGCTAACCTGCGGGTTCCGGAGGGCAATAACTCTTTTACCTTCGCCTGTTTGGGGTTTTTTTGCGGCAAGAAATCCCGACTTGAACTTGCAAAACCTCGGAGTTTATTAAAATGCCTGACGTGTCTAGTTCCACGAGGTGCGCTGACACCAGCGGCCTCGTGCTCGGCTTTTTCCGGGGCGTTGTGAGGGTGGCCTGAAGCCTGAGCTATGTTTTTGTGTTTACTGCTTCAGATTATTCAGTATATCGGGGAAATCTGCAGGTATCTTCTGAACCAGCCGGTCCGAGAGTCAGAAACCCAACACTGCGTGCGGCTGGCGGTGGGCAATGGTTTGAGACCCACCATATGGGAGGACTTCACAAAGCGCTTCCGAATTAAGCAGGTCGGCGAGTTCTACGGAGCCACGGAGTGCAACTGCAGCGTTGCCAACTTGGACGGAAAGGTGAGGAGGACGAGGGTACCGCGGGGGCTGGGAGGAGCGCGCGGAAAGGAGAGAAAGCTCTGCTGGCTTCTCTGACTCCTCCGAGCCCTCTCGCCAGGGGGTGGCAGGGAGCTAGATTGGTGACGAGGGGTGGCGTGCACAAAGGCCTGGGGGGGAAAAAACCTTTACGTTTGGGGTGAATTTGCCTGTTAAATGGAAAGGGAGGAAAGGTCGGAGAATTCCCGGGAAGCGGTAGTGCAAAACCCAAGCCGTTCTCTTCAGCCCTTTGGGGTTTGTTGTTTTTTTTTCCCCCCCCGTCCTTTGGAAGGTCGGTGCCTGTGGCTTCAACAGTCGGATTTTGCCCAATGTTTATCCCATTCGTTTGGTGAAGGTGAACGAGGACACGATGGAGCTGATCCGGGATTCCGGTGGGCTGTGTATCCCCTGTCGCCCAGGTGAGCGTTAACCCAAACAAATCGACGGCAGCTTTTTGTTCTAAACCAAATACGTACGTGAGAAGCTCTGGCTGGTTTAAGGGGTTTCTAGTGTCGTGTAGAGGTTTTCCCTTCCAGTCCTCTCCTCCAAAGATGGATCAATTCAGCAGCTGAACGTCTTTTGGCGGGCATAAAGTTGGGCTCGTCGTGAAATGCCGGTGTCGTCTTGCGTTGATCCTGTTTCCTGCAGGAGAGCCGGGGTTGCTCGTCGGTCAGATAAATCAACAGGATCCCCTGCGTCGGTTCGACGGCTACGTCAGCGAGAGCGCCACCAACAAGAAGATCGCTTGCAACGTGCTTCGGAAAGGGGACCAGGCGTACCTTTCAGGTACTGTCGTCGGCACGGATTGCAGACGTTCCTCGTGCGAAGGTGGTCTCGAGAGACCTAAATCTGGGGGTTTTGAGAGGAATCGATGACCTTAAAGGTATTCTCCAACCTAAGTGATTCTACGAACAGATGTGTTGGCGTTTTGCAGTTGCCGGCTGCTCTGGATTTAATTAAAAAAAAAAAAATTACCATTTCAAAGAGGGAGAGATTCTTTTCCCCGTCCTTTTCCTACTGCTGCCCGTCTCCCGTAACGAGGAGATGCAGCGCACGGTGGTGGGAAGTCACCAAGGCAGTTCTGTGCTTCCCTGGGGAGAAAACAGCGCGACGCTGGGCAAGAGGGCTTTAAGGCAGTCCTGGGCGCTGACGAACTTGAGTCCTGGGGTGGGTTTTGATGTCTCCTCTCCCCCTCCCAGGAGATGTGTTGGTGATGGACGAGCTCGGTTACATGTACTTCAAAGATCGCAGCGGGGACACCTTCCGATGGCGAGGAGAGAACGTCTCTACCACGGAGGTGGAAGGGACGCTGAGCCACATCCTCAACCAGACGGACGTTGCAGTGTACGGAGTGGAAGTGCCAGGTAAAACGTCGAGTCGGAGCTCTCGGGGTTTAGGGAGAAAGGCAAATATTGGGCAAACGTACCAGGTCTGTGTCCGAAGGGGTAGAAATCGGTCGCCTCTATTGCAACCAGGCACCCAAAAAATGAAAAGAGGTGACAGAGTCAAGCGGTGGAGTCTGACACGCTTATTCTGAGCAGCAGAAATAAGGAGATCCAGTAGCGGAATCTCTCTTTGCGTCTTAAAAAGGAAGGTTTTTACGACGTGAGCTTTGCGGAAGCTCTTGGGGTGCATGCCAGCCCTTAGATCTTCAACTAATCCAGGAACGGGGGCGCTGGGGGGGGCACAAGGACGGGAACCGAGCGGTCGCGCGCGCGTCGTGGGCGCGTTGGCCAGAAAGGCGCCCGTCGTGGCACTTTGCCCTGAATTTTTGTCAGGGCCTATGTGAGAGAAACCCGATGAAAACCAGAATGGGATTAGCGTTCGGGGGCGGCCTCGACGGAGGGGTGAGGGGGCGCGTTGGCAGCGGACTTGGGAGCCTCCGGTGTTGGGCTGGGTTTTCCTCGGCGCGTTTGCGCTTCGCCTCGAAGAGGCACGGGAGGAGATAACGGCGCTTGCACCCGTTAAACGTTTCGTACTCCCGCGGTCTCCGCCCCAGCTGCGCTCTTCTCTTTCAGGGGTGGAGGGCAAAGCCGGGATGGCGGCCGTCGCGGATCCCAAAGCTAAAGTCAACCCCAACGTCCTGTACCAGGAGCTGCAGAAGGTGTTGCCTTCCTACGCCCGGCCCGTCTTTCTCCGGCTCCTACCCCAGGTTGACACCACAGGTATCGGGGATCCGGCTGCTCGCCGGGGAAGGTCAGATCCCGAAAGGAGCTTGGAAGCGTTTCTCCCCGCTTCAGGGCGAAATCACATCCCAACCCCGAGTAGGGCAGGCGCAGAAGGACCGCTAGTAAAAACGGTGATTGTAGTTAAGTCTTAAACAAGAAATCGGCTGGTTCCAGGCCCCTCCCTCCAGGCGCGTCTGCCCTCGAACTCGCTCGTACACTCTCCGTTGCCCTTCCCGGGGCTGTTCCAGTACGGCTAAGGGCCAAGCCGGCCCCTCTTTGGCTGCTGCGTTTTCTGTTCTCGGTTTCCCAGGAATTTTACCGGGTCCTTTCACCAGCCCGGGCCTGAGGAGGAGTAAAAAAAAAAAAGAATTGCGGAAGGTTTATGTAAGAACTCCGGTAACGATCGGGAGAGTTAACGGGCTTCGAGTTGCTAAAATTCTTAGGCAAAACCGTGAGGTAGAAATGAAACGCCACCCGTGACGCTTCCTCCTCGCTCTGATGCTTAAGCAGGCTTTCTGATGCGACGTATTTTTAATTTTTTATTGTCTCTTTTTGAAGGTACGTTTAAGATTCAGAAAACCCGCTTACAGAGGGAAGGATTCGACCCCCACCAAACCTCAGATCGGTTGTATTTTCTGGATCTCAAGTTGGGAAAATACGTTCCCCTGGATGAATGCCTTTATGAAAGGATTTGTGCTGGAAAAGCCGCTTTATGATCCGGTCGGATTCAGCCTTTTCGAGGAAAACGATGACTAATCGGCGGGCCGAGGCTCGCGGGCCGCCATGGGTTCCTGCGAGGTCCTTACCGCAGTGAATCACCAGCAGGGACGCGCCTCCCGCCGCGTCTCCCTCCCCTAAAGCACATTAACCCCTCACCCGACTCCCTCCCTGGGCGCTGACGTCCCGTTAACCCCCCCCTGCCTCTAGAGAGAGTATTTTTGTAACCGCTACCCGCTTAGGGAGGAGCGCGATGGCCCTATTTATTCACGGAGACGCCCGTGCCCTGCGGGGGCTCCTCTCTGCTCCGTCTCCCAACTTTACTCACTGACTTAGACGATTTTTAACCTCACTTGCGTTAGGTCGCGTTTTAACTACCCGCAGCCTTAGGGCTGGGGCTATGAGGACGTTAAAAAGAAGATTGTTTTGATGGGTGCTGTGGCGGAGGGGGAGCGGCCTTTGGGAAACCCACCCCGGGGTGGGGACAGCCCGCGCCCCTCCGCCTGGGGGGCCGGCGCCTGAGGCCCGGGGGCGAGTTTGTGCTTGGATCGTGGAAAAAGCGAGTAACGGTGTAAAGCTGTGTGAGCTCAGCCCGCCTCCGCCTCCCTCCTTCCGCCTGCG